TATTGTTAACCTTGTTAAACCATACTTAGCAAAAACCCCCATCTATGTTCATATCCTGTGACTTCCTGGAGAATAAATGTGGGAAGAGAGCCCCAATTTGGGGTTAATTTCCCAAATGGAAGGAATGCCTCTCTCTTGAGGGTTCCGGGAGATTAACCCCTTTTGGGGGCTTCTCACTGCTCAGAAGAGACGGGCTTTGAGTAATCTTTGATGGCTACATCACCCAGGGGAAAAGTGGTGACAAATCCATGGTAGGCAAAGCAACACTCCCACCCACCCCCCACATATAATCTGCCCCATTACACTGTGAGCAGAGCACAGATTGTACCTTGTCCATCTTTGTATCTTCAGTACCCTGCTCAGAGCCTGCGTCATAGTAAGTGCTTGTCTTAGTCCATTTGGGCTGTTATAGCAAAATATCTTAGAATGAGTAGCTTACACACAAGAGAAATTTATTTCTCACAGTTCTGGAGGCTGGGAAATCCAAGTTCAAGGCACCAGCAAATTTGGTGTCTGGGAAGGGCCCATTTCCTGGTTCATAGATGGCACTTTCTAGCAGTGCCCTCACATGGTAGAAGGAAGGGGCCAACGAGCTCTGCTGGGTTTCTTTTATAAGTGCACTAATCTTGTTCATGAGGGCTCTGGCCTCATGAATTAATCCCCTGCCAAAAGCCCCACCTCCTAATTCCATCACATTGGGGATTAGGATTTCAACATATAAGTTTGGGGGGACACAAACATTTGGACCATAACAGGGCTCAATAAATTTTTGTGTGCTTGAGGGAATGGGCCAGAATGTACTAAGCCATCCTGCTAGTATAGAACATTATGTTTGCTTGAAAATTTTCTTCATGGGCCGGCCCGGTGGCGCACTGGAGAGTGCGCCGCTTGGGAGTGTGGTGGCGCTCCCGCCGAGGGTTCGGATCCCATGTGGAGACCGGTTCCCGCTCACTGGCTGAGCGCGGTGCAGGCGCAACACCAAGGGTTGCGATCCTGTTGCCGGTCCCCGGTACGGGCGCGACACCGAGGGTTGCGATCCCGTTACCGGTCAGTAAAAAAAAACGACAAAAAGGGTAAAAAAAAAAAAAAAAAAGAAAATTTTCTTCATTATAAATATCACTACATTTTATTTTATTATCACTATCATTTTATTTCTATTTATTTATTTGTATTTCTATTTTTGGATTATTTCTTTAGTTTAGACTAAGGAGTTCAGATCCCACATACAGACTGGTTCCCGCTCACTGGCTGAGCGAGGCGCGGGAGCAACACCGAGGTTTGCGATCCGGTTACCGGTCCCCGGTCCGGTACGGGGGCAACACTGAGGGTTGCGATCCGTTGCCAGACACGGAAAAAAAAAAAAGACAAAAGGAAGCAGAAATAGTGAGTCAAGGAGTAAATTTCCCCAAATTATTTTCTGGTCTGTCTGTATTAATTGACCATTCTACCAGCCCTGTATAAATGGCATTGGTTTTACTACCCTCTCATTAACTATAGGTATTGCCATTTTTTAAAAAAAGGTACAAACATGTGAAAATGGGGCCTTATTTTGGATTTTAAATTTGCACTAATTTTACTTGTGAGACGTAACAGCAGGATCCCCATGTTTGATCATATTTGATCCTTTTCCACTAGGGCTGGAGCAGGCCTCAGTGGGAAGTTTTCAAGGCAAATTTGATGGCTAAATCCTCAGAAATAGGAATACACTTGTCTAGCAGAATATAAAATAAACACAAAGACTACCTTAGCATGCATTTTTCTGAGTTCCCTCTTTTCCCACAGTTATTTGATATTTTGAATGGTGGTTAAGGGACAGGATGACATTATTTACATAAGTATAGAGCTGTTTTCCAGACCCTAAGAACCAAAGAAGACATCAATAAAGCTATGCTAATTCCACCTTTAAGCAAATCAAAACCCTGCAGGACCCTAAGATAACATCAAGGACAGGAACAGAAACCAGACAGAGCCTTGGTGAGATTTTGCACCGGGTTCCTTACACAGAGCCGCACAGCTCACATCCTCCTCCTTCCTGCTTTTCACTTCCCACTTCTTACCCCATAAAAAACCCTCAGTAAATCTGAGCCTTTGATATGGTTTAGCCTGCCTTCTCCTCAGGCCTGAATAAAGCTGCTTTCCCTTTTTGCCAACATTTGATCTTTGAGTTGTTTGTTTCTGTTTGGCGGTGGGTAGCCAGACTTGGGTTTGGTAGAAAGACTACACATTTTCTAATGACTATTTACTAGTTTTCCTGCTTCTTTTGTGTATACTGTCAGTTTACATCCTTTGTTTATTAAACTACAGAGTATTTAGCATTTTTCTTACCAATTTGTAGTATTTAGGTACTAAAGACATTAACTCCTGTCTTACCTGCTGCAAATTCTTTTCCCTCTCTGCTGTCTGCTGTGTTATTTAAATTCTGGCATACGATTCTATTTCAGTTATACTTTGTTCACTTTTAACCTTTAAGAAACCTGCAGTTGCAATTTTTTTCTGGAAAATTCATATTTATAAAGCTCACCTCTATACACAGGTTTGTTAAACATTTACTTCTTTTTTCTTCTGTTTATTTTCCCCTCCCTTCAAATAGCTTATTTTTAAAAATATAACTGTTGAATGTAGGTGGAATTAAATTAATATTTGGTCTATGGAGAGAGGTAAGGGTCAGAGATATTTATTTGAATTGCTAATTAGAAATTCCCTCACAGTGTATTAAATAACCCTGTTCCTATGTAACTCCTTCTTTGTTATGTATTAAATTTATATGTAATATGATATTTTAATCTCATTTTTATTTAATGTTTTATTGCATTAGTCAGAATTTCCAAAAGGACATTATATGAAAATGGTAATATTGGGCTTCCTGGTTTTGTTATTGGTTCTAAAGATAGGTTAATTTGTATTTACTCAGAGATTCTAGGAATTTAGGGCTTCATCAGAACCTCTGTTAGCTGGGCAAGAAGGGCCCTAGCCCTGGGCCCCACAGATCACAAATACCAACAGACAAAGGTATTTGAATTTTGTAACCACTTCGGTAGATGGGAATTATGGGGGAGGGACCTGTGAGCACCCCAGCCTCAGTTTGATGACTTTCTTGAAAAGAGACTATAAACTCAGGAGTTCTTGGCGATGGGCATCTCCCATTTACATGGCCTGAGAAACCCAGAAAACCAAGGAAAAAAAAAAAAAAAAAGAACAAAACACACTTGCAGAGTGACATCCAGGGACAGGGGACTTTCTGTGCTCCTTAGCATGGTGGCTTCTCATCCCTGATCTTCCCAGAGCCAGGCTGCTCTATGAGATACTGCAGTGTCCTTATAAGGCTTTTCCCTTTTTACTTACGTTAGCTCATGCCGGTTCTGTTTCTTGAAAGTGAAAACGTCCTAAGTAACAAGAACCACCAGGGGTTGGGTGAGCTGTCTACTGCCACCACTCACCACCGCTGCGACCGTCACAGAGGTAACCCATCAGCCACAGGATTGAGAATAATGTTGGTGACTTTAAGGTGCCCCCTGTGTCATCCAAATCTGCCTACAGAGAATGTAGCAACTAAAAGAGTCTACAACTCAGAGGACCATCAGGAAAACGGGTTGAAGTTAAGGCGAGTGGCGGCAGTGTAAAGGCACATGAAGTGTGTCCTTCTGCTTCTCACGCCTCCCTCCCCCTCCATGACCCTCTCTTTCCACCAGGAATTCCAGATCACCTGTGTTGTGCCAGGCACTAAGCATACAATGGTGACTATATGGTCATTGTCCTTAAAGACGCTAACATATAATGGGAGAGAGAGACTTAATTTCGACAGAGGGAGGTTTGCAGAGGGTGCTTTGGAGTAAGAAGGGTCATTTAGCCCAATAAGGGGGTTCAGGAAGGGCTTTCTAGAGACTGAAAGGAAGGAAGGGGTGAAACAGTCAAATCATTGTGGATGCCTCAAGCTGTCACCCTTGTTGATAGGAAAAAGAGTCAACATGGTCCAAATATCCTCCAGTAACAACCAGCACTCAGTGCCCCTCCCCCTATCAAGCCATGGGGTGGGGGGGCTGAAGGAGGAGTAGGACTGTGGGGCGTGGGGTGGTGGGGGGAGGAGAAGAGGTCAAAAAAGCTGTAGAGTTTCTATTTTCAAACTGAAATTTGATTTGAGAACATTGGTAATAGAAGAAGCATAGATAATAAATAATAGAGACTGTAGTTTCGATGGGTGCTTATTTTTGGAAGGTAGTAGGTGGCTGTAATAATTTTGAAGCTCCTAGACTGTTGACTTTTAAATTCAATTCCTTCCACACAAAAGAAGTAAGAGTTCTAAGCTAAGCTATGAACAACAACAACAACAAAAGACTGAAAATCAATTGAAATATTTGAAGAGAATCTTTGTATTTATGAATCTTCTCCCTGGAGGTTATTACCCTGAGGCATGGGCCTGTAGTGTTAAAGTATTTGAAAATAAGAATCAGTTGTTTTTGAAAACGGATTGGAATGCTCAAGAGATTCAGTAAGGATGATACACACTGGGGAGTTAAAAAAAAAGTCATGCGTTCTGGTGTACAAAGTTAAACAAAGAAAGAATAATAGAAAGAAAAAGGTGAGTCAGTCCCCACACACCACCCCCCAAAGCCCATAACAATCCCACTTTAGTGAAAGAAAAAAAATAGGCAAAATCAACAAATACTAATGACTAAAAGGAGAAATCTAAAAATGGAAATGCTTCAAGACTATTTTTTTCCATTGGGATCACATTTTTAAACCCAGGCAACAGGCTCCACAGCCCCTTGGGTACCATGAGAAAGCTATAGGTCTTTTTGATTAGCAGGATCTAATTTCTAGCCAAGGTCCAAGAAAAATTGGGAAGAGATGACTGTTTTAGCTTGTTTTGTGTTGCTATAACAGAATACCTGAGACTGGGTAATTTATAAAGAACAGAGATTTAGTTCTTATAATTCTGGGGGCTTGGAAGTCCATCACCGAGGTGCCTGCATTTAGCAAGGGCCTTCCTGCTGCGTCATCCCATGGCAGAAGGTGTAAGGACAAGAAAGCACACGTGTAAGAGACAGAAAGGGGGCCCAACTCACTCATTTATCGGGAGCCCACTCCTGGAAAGGATGCAAACTCCCTTCTATGTGGCTTTAGGAACAGCATAGATGGTCATACACCAGGGATGGTTCTAATATGAACAGACTGAAAGGGTATAGAGAACATGACGCTCTTCGATGGTTTATTACTGTTTTTCTCAACTTTATTTTTAAATCAGAGATTGGGAAATGAAGGAAGAACTAGAAAGGTAGGAGGAAGAATGAAAGAATTTGAAATCAATCTATCTAATAGAAAGGAGACAGAAAGGAGAGAAAGAGGGAGGAAAGGGAGCTAAAGTTTCACGGGCTGGGTAGAGTGGACAGGGGTGCTGGTGAGTGTAAAGCCCCAAAGAGGAGGCGCCATGGTCTGAATGTCCGTGACCTTCCAAAACTCATATGTTAAAACCTAATCTCCAGTATGATGGTATCAGGAGGTAACACCACTGGGAGGTGATAAGACCATGAGAGCAGGGGCCAGCCCGGTGGCGCACTGCTACAGTGCGCCGCTTGGGAAGCACGGCAGCGCTCCCGCCGAGGGTTCGGATCCCACATACAGACCGGCCGCTCACTGGCTGAGCAAGGTGCAGGAGCAACACCGAGGGTTGCGATCCCGTTGCCGGTCCCAGTCCGGTACGGGCGCGACACTGAGGGTTGCGATCCGTTGCCGGTCACGAAAAAAGACAAAAAGGAAAAAAAAAAAAGACCATGAGAGGAGATTAGAGCCCTTTAAAAAGACGGCCCAGAGAGCTGTCTTTCTCCTTCCACCACATGAGGACCCAGCAAGAAGGCAGTCACCATCTGTGAACCAGGAACCGAATCTGCTAGCACCTTGATTTTGGACTTCCCAGCTTCTAGAACTGTGAGAAATTTCTGTTTATAAGTCACCCACTATATAGTATTTGTCATGGCAGCCCAAATGTACTAAGACAATAGGATTGCAAGAGGCAAAGGAGAAAAGGAAAAGAGGACATGAGGTGTTGTCAGGGGTTGCAGGGTGTAAAAGCTGATTATCATTAAATCTATTTTCCATAGTGAGGAACTAAAGAATGTAAAGAAAACAATAAAGAAAAACTTATTTTAAATTATTTGGACCCCGCGCTCCTGCACCGGGGGGCGGGGGTGGGTTCGCCCTTGTCACGGCCAGGCGGGTCCCCAGCTTCCAACCCGTACTTCCTGTTTTCTTTTTGGCGGCTGGCGGGTACGAGGATCCGAACCCTTGAGCTTGGTGTTACAACACCGCGCTCTAATCCATAGAGCTCTTCCGGAGGCCTGGGGAAGGCGCCTCACAGTCCTCCTGCTTTCCCCTCCCTAGGGGCTCTTCAGAGCAGCAGGACACCTGCTCAAACCCAAGGCTTTGCTCATCACCTACGGGCCCTTTGCCATCAATGGGAAGATCTCTCCCCAGAGCAACGTGGACTTTGACCTGACCCTCAGATGCAGGAACCCGGAGTGGGGGCTGCGGGACACAGCCCTACTGGAGAAATTGGGCCAGGCCAGTGGCCTGCACTTAGAGAGGATGGTGGACATGCCAGCCAACAACAAGTGCTTGATTTTCCGGAAAGAGTAACCTCCTCCTTCACCCCACATGCCTGCATCCCTGCCAAAGGCTCTGTCGGGCACAAACCCGATCACCAGCTCCTCCTCCCTGGGCCCAGCTACTGTCTTGGGGATGACCAGCACCACTCCACTCTGGGCTCTTGACTGGCAGCCACAGGGCCGTCAAGAGCCTGGGCTCAGCTTGTCTCAAAATAAAGTGTTTCTTGCTGCCCCACTGCGGGTGTCCACCACAAAAAAAAAAAAAATAAAAATAAATAAATAAATTATTTGACACCATGGAACTGTATTTCTTTGAATGTGGCGTTGTTCTAAGATTAAACCACATGAGTCTATGATCTCATTAGGTTCATGTAAGTAGCCACTCAGTTACTCATCAAAGCATCATTCGGTATCAAATATGTGCTTATCCCTGTGCCTGAGATTCTGTGACTAGGTAATTTAGTTACCCTGGGTGTGTTCAATAATTAATACACACACTGTCAGGTGTATGCTTAGTGACATTTTGGAATCGGACTGTTGAGCCTTTATATTGCTGGGACCGCCTACTTTCTGATGAAAGAAAAGCTGGATAACAACATGGAACATTATCCCCAAGTGTAAGTTCAGTCTACTGTCTGAGCGTAAATCGAAGCATTAGCATCCCAAATGATTTTCCTTAACTTGCCTTTAACTATGGTTTTGTAAGTTGCTAGAGCAAAAATTAACTTCCTAAGGATTAAAAGTCAAACAGGTAGAAATAACAAAGTATATTGACATACAGAGTATGTCATGATGTAGTCCTGGGGACATGGGGGTGACATGAGGAGAGGGGACGATAGCCATCAGAGCCATGAAAAACTGCCTAATGATGTCAAAGTCTGTGTTACCATTTTAGGTTAGTAGTGTGGGGGAATCATTGCCAAGAACGTATGAAAGTGGCTCAGAAACGGTAAACCTAAGTGACGGTTCTACTTACTCTGTAAAAGTATAAATATTACAAACTTTTCATCAAGAAAGAAAAGAAAAACTATGAGCAGTTTGTAACACAACTGACACTGACACTTGAGTCATGTCTTCACCTGGCTGGTGTTTGCCACGTGAACTTGTGAGTTCCCTCCACCCAAGTAAAGCTCTGCTTTCTTGGTGCATCCATTCGTGTGTCATTTTGTATTCTAGTTCTTGTCCATTCTGCTCTTTTTCTGTGTAACTGAGATTATCTGAAAATGATGTCAAAGTCTGTGCTATCATTTTAGGTTATAAGTGTGGGGGAAACATTGGCAACATGGAACGACCAGATTTTTAATTGCTATCAATTAATGATAGCAAGTACTTAATCACTATTAGTTATTGACCAGTGTTCATGTAGCATCAAGAAACATGTAGAGAATGATGCAGTCTCATGCCAGAATTCTACCATGGTTAAGGTTTGCTTGTGGAAAAACCTACCCTCCCACACCCCTAAAATTCCCACAATAAATAAAGAAAATGCCCATAACGTTTACTTGATGATATGCAAGATTAAGGATTGATCTTACATTTTCCCCGCACGGGGATCCTGGAAGGGGAAATTGGTTGAGGTAGAGTTTGGGGTCAGACGACCTGGGTTTGAGATTACTTCTGTCACTTATTACCTTATTTAGATGGTCTCAGGCTTCACTCTCTCTTTTGCATACAATATTGTACTTCACGGGGCTAATTAATTGATAATTAAATGAACTAATATGTGAAATGTATATTGGATAACACTAAAGCAGTGTACTACTGTATGGTGTAAGGGACACAATAGCTTCACAATTAAGGTTTTGGACACAGGAGGCAAGCCAAATTGGGTTTTGAATCCTGACTTCTCACCTGCCAGCTGTGCAACCCTGGTAGCGTATGTGACCTCAGTAGTATATGTGACTCGGCAGTGTATGGTGAAGGGCACTGTCACTGGAGCCAGGCTTCCCAGGTTTGAACCTTGACTCTGCCCCTTGTTAACTATGGGAGCTTGAAAAATTTCTCTGCATTCTTTCCCTCAGCTTCTTCATCACAAGGGACTAGCAACAGAACCTACCTCAAAAGGTTATGGTGAAGATTTGCTGAGCTGAGACAGGTAAAGCACTTAGGACATCACCTGGAACACACTAAATGCTTGATGATGATGATGATGATGATTAAACTCCTGAAACCTCTGTCTCCTTGTTTATAAGATGGGGAGAATAATACCTAGTTTATAAGACCATTATGGGATTAAATGAAATTAAGTTTCTGTACCTACCGCAATTGCCTGGGGCATAGTGGATGCTTGTAAGTTCTACTGTGATTGATGCCACGGTTCTTATTCTACCCCAGCCAAAGTCAATTATGGTAATTCCACCCCGTCGTCACTGATAAGTTTAGGAATGAGCACCTGATCTATTTCTGTCTAACAAGACTTGAAATTCAGTCTGTGAAGGACTTCCATGAAAACTTTTGTCTTTCCTGAGAGAGAGCCACAGGAAGAAACTGTCTCTGATTTGTGTCTGGATGTGACACTTCTCATCCCTTTTTACTCAGTTCTCATATATAACAACTAATGAATGGTGCTACAGTTTGAATATTTAATTAGTTATCACAGGAATTCAGCCCCCTTTCTCTCTCTCTCTGTCTCGCAGGTGCACTTCCTCACATGTGACGCCCTCCACAATATTATGATGCAGCAAGAAGACCCTCACCAGATGCAGTCCCTCGATCTTAGACTTCCCAGCCTCAAGAACTGTATAAATTACCCAATCTGTGGTATTCTGTTTCAGCAGCAGAAAATGGACTAAGACAAATTGGCATGTACAAAATCGGTGGTTGATGATAAATTACATTAGTATAAAATTTCTGTAGACCAAAAAGAATTGTAAAGAAGCAGGGTACTGGGCTAGCTTTAGTCTTCTCATAAAAGCAAGTTCCCCCTGAGGGACATTTCTCTTTGGATATTGACAGTCAGATGTTGGTCTCGTGGAACTATATGTCTTAGAAACACGACCTTATTATACAAACCACAAGATCCCATCTTTGAGTCTCTGTCCCACTTGAAATCGAGCAAAACAAGTAAATGTTCAATGAGAACGATGAGTTTCTATAAATATGGCAAGGGGCATATACGAAGCTTGCTTACTCCAAACAAGAACTTGGGGATCATGAGGTTGCTTAGGTCACTCAAAACTCCACACATGAAGAACTTTTTAATCTTCAGAAGGTTTTTCCTTCATGTTCAGCTTCTCCACCAGTGCCTGGACCTTTGATGATGCCCATCATTCTCCTTTATTTGCTGTAACCCTTTTATTCTCAAGATATTAGTCTGGGAAAGTGACATAGATGATCTAGAGAGAGAAGAGACTAAGATAGATGCAGGTGACAAGCATCCAAACGACTACAGACTCTGGACAAAAGAGAAAGGTGCTGATGGAGAAATTGGGATTAAAGAGCCAGCAGGTGGAGGACTTTGAATTTTAGGGGCTTTTGTTGTTGTCGGTTTGGGTTTTTTTAATTCTTAATCAAACGTTTAATAAATTGTTTATTTGTAACCTAATAAATAATACATGTATATTAAGCCTAAAAATTTAGACAATCACGAAAGACTACATTAGTAATCCACAGGATATACAATGAGACTCCATTTGCACAGATATGAATGTTGTGTGAATGACATACTTGTTGCATACATACACTCTGAATGTACACCACTTATAATCTCATTGATGCTACCAACTCTCCTTAGAAAGATGGATTCTACTTAGTTCTAGTTAAAGTATTATAAATTCCAAATTAATAAAACTTTACTGTATTTGAGGACTGCCAAAACTAAAGTACTGATCCCTTTAGTCATTTGGTTCCTACTTAGATGTGTATACAGGGTAAGTCATGGGGGCAGGGGGGTAAGTCATGTGTGTGTTTTGCTTTTGAAGTTTACACCAACAATGTATGGTCAGTAACTGGCACACAAAGATGCTGTGCAAAATTATTCCTCAGTTCCATTCTAAATTTATAGCTCAGTTGATTTTACTGTCCTCACTGGAGTATGTACAACTGTCACACATGAGAGAGAGAAAAATCACTGGCTCTTTAAATTAAGGGGGTTATTTTCACTATTTTGCTGAAGATTCATATTTAAATATATCAAGAAGTTAATATACACAGTTCAAGAGATGCTCTGACCCTATCATTCTTGAAGAAAAGTGATGCATAATTTCTGGATAATTTAGAGAGAAGTTACAACCTTTTCAGCTAGTTTTTAAATGAATAGCTCTGCATATAAAATTTCTAACTTAATCTTTCTGAATTTGCTGGTTTCTAAAACCAGCCTTAAGCAAAGGTCTGAAACCTAGGCAATTACCAGGAACCACATAATCCAATCCAAGAAGGTACTTCATAGTGTCTTAGAACTGTTTTTCAACTTAGGGGAAACAATAGATTCCATTAAATCCTAAAACTAGTGTGGAAAAGGGCCTGGTAGACCAGATTAGACTCCCAGGACAATTCCAAATTTTACTTGGAAGCCTTAAAAAGTTGTGTCTTATGGGTAAATGATGGCTATTCTCAAATGACAACATCATGAGCAGTACCTATCCCTTCCTATACCACAGAGGCGGGGGGGGGGGGTACATTTTTACATACGTAGCACCAAATATGAGGGTACTTCAAAAAGTTTGTGGAAAAATAGAATTAAAAGATACTATGAATCTTTCCATGAACTTTCTGTAGTACACTCAAATAACTACCAACTTCTATTTTTATCAGGAAAGAGTATTTTCAAGAGGCTCTGAAAAAGTAAAGAAAATAAGGTTCATAAGGTTTAAGAGTATAAGAAATTTACATATTAAATCTTTCACACATGTTCTCCTTGCACGAAAAATAGATGCTTCTCATTTAAGTGGAAATTATTTAAAATATAAGGGGTAGGAATAAAGGATGAGCTATATATCCAATTCAAATTACATTAAAATCCAAATGGAAAATATAAACAGAAGTGAACTTTTCCTAAAAGGAAGTAAATATTATGCCCCCTCCCAAAGTAGATAAATTACACTAAAGAAAAGAAATCTACATGGACTGAGACACTTTCTCGCTCTGATACATGTAAATAAAAATAAATTTCATGTTGTCTAAATGTTTAGGGTTAGAGGCCCGGGGCTGGGACACAGCAGGGGCTGGAAGGTGGCACAGGGCGGCGAGGGAGGCCCGGAGATGCCAAGCAAGAAGTACAACACGCAAGAAGTACCC